CCACATGCCTTCGTCATGTAACTGGAAGCGAGCTCGATGCGTGTAGGAGGCCCAAAGTTCGAATTCCTGCTGACGGCATTGAGGACTTTTTCACTTTCCTGGCATCGAAAAATTCTAAATTACTCTACAACTTATATACGGCCAGCCCATTTGCCATGAATCGTACCATGTCAAGCACCCAACATTACTCACTCTGCCGCTCGTGGAAACGAATGTTAACGAAAGAGAAGAAACACTAAACTTCTTATTTTTTCAGTTGCTGAGCAAAATTTTAAGAGTCGGGAATATCTCTTAAAATGAAAATAGCTAGTTCTCTTTAATCATACTGAAAAGGATTATTTATTAATTTATACTGAGGCTTAAAATACTGGTAAACGAAAAAATCTATCAAATTTATTGCATTTAAGTGAATTCGATGAGAAAAAGCTTGGGTAATTTTATGAACGTCAAAAGGTTTCAAAATGAAATTCATGTTCAATCTGCGTCAGTGGTACGATCTACATAGGATTATTAGTGTAAACTAAGAGTTCTTATTGATTTTGTTGCAGTAGTAAATTAATTGGAACACCAGATTTTTGCAACATTATATAAAGAAGCCGTAACTGGTATTAACGTATGGTATATTTTCTGTTATAGGAAGATATGCGCTAAATAATTTTCTAGATATATATGGTTATTAGCTAATGATAAATTAGATGCGTTCTTTTCATGTCTCATAAGAGTATTGTTTTCAAAGGAAACATTGCCAATAAAAGTTTTTTTTAAACTTCATCATTCTATTTAATTAAATTTCGTCATTTTTTTAATTTCGTCATTCTATTTCGTTCATTGTTTATTGAGATAATTAAACTTACATATTTAGAAAATGTTTTCCCCGGTCGATTTGAGGTAGCGTGTTCGATTTGAATTTTTTCCTAGAAAATGAGAAGCAAAATGTTTTTCTTTCGTTTTTAATTGTGCACTACATGTTTCGCATCATGCAAAGCTGCGTCTAGTTATTAGATATATACCAAAAATGAATTAATAGCCGTTAAGAAATCTTTATCTGTTTTCTAGAAACAAAGGATAGAATTAATATTTTAGCGAATGAAACTGTTTATAAGTTAGAAAAAGATGGCCTGGACATTCGGCCAAAGATATGATACTGGGCTAATATGGCTGGGTATGATATCTGGGCTAATAAAGCAAAGATGTGCAAGAAATTATTTGGCATAGAAATGATAAAGCTAAAATATTCCTTATTATAGTCAGAGTTTAAATTTACCTCTACAAAGTCAAACATGTTAAGATGTTTGGAAACTGTACAAAGGAGCTACAGATTTTTGGGAGTGAGGGGAGCAAATCTTACGAGTTGAATGGGTGCACTTATAGAAACGCTATTAAGAGGTCACACGGGTACGCAATGGGCATGAAAAGTAAATGGTGTTAAAGAAATGGATCTAAAAAAAGATAAACGTCAATTATTAAAAGATATTACAACAAAGGACACATTGAAGTGAAAATAGTAGCACTTTGAAGTAAACCAATTAAAAATTTTTATGTACATTATTTGCGCAGTATTTAATGCTTCAATTAATAGAAAAATAAATATAAGTCTCGTAGTCAAAAACCATACCTGTACATAAAGCCTTCACTCATCTCATATTGGTACATGAACTCTTTTTATGCATGATTATGATATATCAAATACGAAATTTTCCAGCAGAAGAGTGATGTTTCTTCTATGAAGTTTTACAAAAAAGTAGTGAAAATTAAAAAAAAAGTCTCACTTTTGGATCCTATTCAAACATTACTTCTTAATCAATTGTTGATGATAAATTAGAATCAGGATTGAAATACTTTTTTGCAAAATTAAGTATTTGTTAATACCACTACCGGTTTCTTTCTCTCTCTCTCATACAGTTATACATTTGTTTCTCGCTCTCACATATACAGTTATACATTTGTTTATCTCTCGCGCATACAGTTATACATTTGTTTCTCTCTATTACATACGGTTATATATATATGTCTAAAAATATAGTTCAGCAAAGTTCAGTGTGATTAAATAGTCTTATTTCTGTTACAAGTTGAAAACAGATATATCCGAAACGCTTCCTTGCTTTAGATAAAAGAAATAATAAAATAATTTTTGTCTATTTGGAATAAAAGGAGCTTACCAGCGAAAGAAAAAATAACTTCAATTTATGAAGAACTAAATAATAGAGTATTGTTTTAAGACTTCTAAAGATAAAACTTAAATTCTCTCCAAAACGATGGAGCTAAAATATATTCTTTTAGTTTTCCTTAAAATGTATCGCGTTATTTGGAGTGCAAGTCGTTGAGAAGGTTGACGGATTGCGGTTACGAAAGAGCTACATTTCGGATGCCATTTCCCGTAAAGTTGAAAGCAACTAAGAGCAGACGCCTGTCATCTTGTCCCTTCGCACCTGGCTCCAACCCAAGAGAGACTTAAAAGCCGCTTCCATCGACCGTTAATGGAGACACCGCTCGGCTATCCAGTGGACCTTGTACAGGAAGATGCTAAGTGTCGATTATTGTTCCCAGGATCCTCAGCGAGGGATTCTGCTCTTATCAAATCAGCATCATTCAAACCATTGACTTCGAAAATATCTCCTCTTGTTTGATTTCAATACTTCATAAATAGATTACATTTCATGTATACAGTGAAACAATCTGTTTATGAAATGTTGGTTACATGCACATACTGAAGAGTATTCTATTTAGGAAGTCATCCTAAGAACTGCATGGAACTAGCTTAATTTACATTAAAGAAACTGAAGTAAAGATGATGTTTTTCGGTTTCCTAAGCTCAGCGGATGCATTAACGAAATTGTGGTCGAAGATATTTTTAAGAGCTTCTAGACACAGTCATTGACTATATTTTAGATATTAAGTTACATGGCATTTTCCCATTGTGCACGTTACAATACTTACTTTCACAACACATTTTGTAGACTAATGAAATATTTAATTTATTTTGCACATTTTCAACTGAGAGTTGAAAATGTGCAAAATGTGCATTATTTTTTATTTTCAGCGAAAACCTTCTTCACATTAATTAAAAAAGAGTTATTACATCAAACAGATTGTCATACTCTTCGCTTGTCTATGCACGACTCCATATAAACTCTGATAATTAAGAAGACAAACGATGATGAGCTGTACCCCTTTGCTGATCCCCACGCGCTCTCCAATGTTTGCCTGGGAATACCAGTCTCAGGATCAAAGCTGAGGTTGGGAAAAAAATGAAGCCATCCCCTCCTTCCATTAGCCCCTTCAAAAAGGGAATATTAAAAAAGAAAAGAAACCGGGACAGCTTCTGGGGTTACCGAATGTTTAACAGACTCAGAATCATGGATGGTATTTTTTCGAGTTGTAATGGCGTGTACCGGATAAACAACAAGTTAAAAAATATTTAATCCATTTAAAAAAGATGTGTCTTTTCCAAGAAAAAATAATTAAATATATGTTCAGTCAAAACCTATTTACTGTGAATTTAAATGGACAGATTAGAGTTGAAGGACTCCGTATTTATTTGACTGTTATAAAAATAATTTTGTGACTTGAATATACATTTCAGCAAAGAGCTTGTACATTGTACTAATTAGTTTCAAGAAGTTGATATTTTAGTTGCGTTTAATTTACAATTAAGTGCACATTCCAAGCAGTTTCTGTTTAAAGCTGTAATTTTAGTTTGAAAGTGCGGTAAGACCTATTCGGTCTTAAAAAGTTTGCGCAAAATGCTGCAAAAATATGAAATAATAGGAAGAAATATTGTAGAGAGCTCGCTAAAAAGCTACCAGGATCTGTGGCTCCAAGAAATAGTTCAACGCAGTATTTTTTAAAAATATTAACATGGAAGTAATTTTTAAAAATATTAACATGGAAAGGTGAAAAAAACAGCCTACACGCGAATAAAATACAGAAAAAAAACGTTAAAATTAATTGTTGGAAACATGTCAATGCACAAAAAAAGAGCAAAACCTATCGATGTGATATGTGTAAAGTTAACACTTATAAAAATTGATTTTAACAGTTTTTTGTTCTGTATTTTATTTCGCGTGTAGGCTGTTTTTTCACCTTTCCATGTCAATATTTTTTAAAAAATATTGCGTTGAACTATTTCTTGGAGCCACAGCTCCTGGTAACTTTTTAGCGAGCTCTCTACAATATTTCTTCCTATTATTTCTTGTTAAAAGTATATAGATGTCAATAATATAACGGCTGTCGGTTTCATAGGAAATGCAAAAGTTAATTTTAGTCTGCTAAGCAATTTTAATTATGCGATTCCGTAGATTTTGAACTTCTTTGTGATCTGTCTGAATTTTGTTTCGCAGAAACAATATCCCTTTAGCGGAATACAGTACTTTTTATCCAGCTCCAAAAAATGAGAATTTTATCAAGCTACTGTTTGAGCGCTAATTGAAAATCACCTTTAAATACCGAAATTTATTGTGAAAGTTGCATTTATTCCTTAATGTGAAGCTCCATGACAACGAGAAAATATCCCTTTTTTTATGAAGAAGACGATGAAAGGAAAATAAAATGTCTATACATTTGCATAGTAAAAAAATGTTGACCCAAGAAAGCTCTCATTTGTCGGTCACCGAGGCAACAGCAATTAGCTAGTAGTATGTATTTCCTCCTTTCCATGCTAATTCAATTAATCCATCAGAAAAAGTCTCTCAGCTATTAATTAGCATGTGCTCTTAAATGTTTTCGTACGAGTAATTGACTCACATTCATAGTTTCACGTAAATTCTGCAACAGATAGCAGAATCGTAATCTGTTCTTTTTTCCCGTTGTTACATTAAATTGCTGTCAAGCGAAAGAGATGGGAGTTTTTGTGAAACTTTTCGTGTCACTATTCGGGATGCAATTTAGAAAAAGCTGAAGTTAGGAAACCGCAAATTCTGAATTAAGGAGTGTTTTTTTAATTGTTTAGTGTCGTATAATTGATTATTATTAAGCATTCTTACTGTTTTGTTTCATTACAGCTCACTGCAATCTGGTTTCATTTCACGCTAGATGGCTCTTCTGTGAATAACACATTGGATCTCTTTCGGAAGACAGTGGCTGATGCTTATTGCATCGAAAAGTACGTAGAGAGCAGATAATTTTTTCAGATGTTAGGTAGGTAATTTAGTTAAAATTAAAGTGAATAAAAGAAAGAAAGGTTTTTAATATGAACACCGTAGCGTGATTTATGGAAATTAGGTTTCATAAGCAAATTTATAGCTGAAGTCTATTTCGAATGAAAAGTACCGAAGCGAAAAATTCTTCATTGGTTGATCATATAAGGATCTTACGCTTGACGTGAATAGAGAGTTAAAATAAATAAGCATTCTTTGTATAGGGATTATATATTTTTCATGCTTAAGAGGTATTAAATAATAAATGAAATACCAGTGCAATGGATAAGAAATGAAAAAAATAATAATTACGGTAAGAGATTCTTCGTAATTTTTTTAAACGTGCAATTAATGATTTTAAAATTTTATCATAACGCATTCATTAGTAATTCATCAGATCATTTCTAAATCACGATATGAGGCATAAATTTATAAAATTTCACTTCTGTATATCAGTTTTCCTTGAATAAATTGTAATAATTACATCATCGTGAAAACTATTACAAAAAAGGTATGTATTTCCTCAGAATGAACTTTATGTATTTTCCTAAGGACTGCGCATGAAGCATATTTATTTTGGGAAAGCCATTGGTTCATATGGCAGATTTAGGTGAACTTTTATAATACATGTAACGTTAGTTTTGAATAATAAAGATGAAACATACAAACGTCTAGTTTTTTTTAACATGCGCAAAAGTAAGTATTATATTTTCATTTGCATGTGATAGTTCCTTTTCTTATCATTCTTCATAAACATGTAAAATTATCTTTACATGTTGGTGATGCATAATAACGTTTTGTGAATTTTAGGTTTCACATAAAAAGCAAGAGCTTACTCACTCACCAGCGACTGAACGATGAGGTTAGGTTAGGCTAAATGGTTAAGGCAAAGCAACTTAAGGGCTCTCTGCTTTTGAGGATGGATGCCTTTGCGAAGACGTTTTAAGGAAAATTATCTCATATCCACGTTACACATGGGAAAAACTACAAAAAGCCCCATGCAGCCAGCAGTACGTAGGAAAATGAACCTGGGTCAAACTACTAGAGTTTGTCGACTTTACCGCTAGTGAACGCGACCGAGCGATAAAATCGAGGAACACTGATAGCTTAAGCCGTGTTCATATCCTGGTGAACGGAATGGTACTCCAATCCAACCAAAATCGTTCTCTGCAATATGCACTTGGTTCCTTATTTTAATGTTTATCATAAAAAACTTTAAAAATTCAATTTTTTAGCTATGTGCATATATATAACGTTATTTAATGCAAATTATCGAATAACTATGAAACGCAGTCAGCGCACATCAACTGTAGCAGTCGATATGCAACAGCTCAATAGCATATTCGTAGCAGTAATTATTACATTTCACTATTATAAATGAACATGATCTTTTTTAAAGAATTAATTAACAATTAATAAAATTATTTTCTGTATAATTTTATGCAATTATACCTATTCTGGAAAGGTACTTTAATTATGTATTATGCAATAATTAATTATAGCCTTGTATATATATACACTTCTGTCGAATGGAATTAGGTACTGGAGTTATACTATATATTTTTTTAAATTTCAATAAATTAAGCTTAGCAAGAAGAATAAATGCTTAGTTTGGATTCGATAATGAAATGGGAGGGGATTTGTGTCCTTAAATGAGGAGGATACGCGTGGTAAGAATTCTTTTATTTGTAAGCATAAATTTTGATTAAAAATGTATTTTTCTTTTCAAAGGATTTCCAAGAAAAAGACTTTAATGGTCATTATACTTGGTATTATTTTTTTATGAAATTTTAATACGTTTATTAAGGAAATACTTGAGGCAAAAACAAAAATATGGAAACACCTTGTGAAATGCATGTTTGAAAAGAAAGATTGATTTTAATGAAATATGTAGGTGGCGCTGGCGTTTTTGACTACTGACGCCACCTATACAACTTCGTAAATGTGCTAAACAGTTCAGTTGTTGTCGGAGTACTGTTATGTGAGGTTGTCATTGCATTATGTCAGAGTTAACAGACTTCGAACGTGGGCAAATTGTTGGAGCACGTATGGTAGGTGCTTCCGTAAGCAAGGTAGCCGAGGTGTTTAGTGTTTCAAGAGGTACTGTATCGAAGATTTATTCCGCATATTTGAAAAGCGGAAAAACATCATCTGCTAAATCACAGCGCGGACGAAAGTGTGTCCTGAGTGATCGTGACAGACGATCATTAAGGGCAATTGTGACGAAAAATAAGAAGACCACAGCTGCAAAAGTTACTGCTGAAATGAATGTTGTGTTACCGAACCCTGTGAGTACCAAAACAATTAGAAGGGAGCTTCATAAACAGGGAATTGCTGGCCGTGCTGCAATTGAGAAGCCACTCATCAGTGATGCTAATGCCCGTAACAGGAAAAGGTGGTGTTTAAGTCATAAAGCCTGGACTATAGAGCAGTGGAAGCGAGTAATATGGTCTGACGAGTCTTCTTTCACATTGTTTCCCACTTCTGGCCGAGTTTACGTCTGGAGAACGCCATCTCAAGCCTATAATACAGACTGCTTGTTGCCAAGAGTGAAACATGGCGGGGGTTCTGTTATGGTTTGGGCAGCCATATCGTGGTTCTCTGCTAGCCCCATGATAACTGTGTCAGGGCACATGACTGCCAAGACTTATGTGAACATTTTGGCCGATCAAGTTCATCCCATGGTACAAACTTTGTTCCCCGATGGTGATGGTGTCTTCCAAGACGACAAAGCCCCTGTTCACACAGCTCACATTGTCCAGGACTGGTTTTCTGAGCACGAGGATGAGTTGTCCCATCTCCCCTGGCCACCACAGTCACCAGACCTGAATATTATCGAACCTTTGTGGTCTACATTGGAACGGAAAGTGCGTTCTCGTTATCCACCGCCAACATCGTTATCTGAACTTGCCACCGTTTTGCAGGAAGAATGGTATAATATTCCCTTGGCAAACATACAGGAACTGTATTTATCCATTCCGAGAAGACTGCAAGCTGTTTTGGATGCCAACGGGTTTCCTACACCATATTAAGCAAAGAAACATGTTTTTTTAAAGGTGTTTCCATATTTTTGTCCAACCCCTGTACTATTTTGAGTTTTTTTTAAAAATTTAAATAAACATTCTGCATAAATTACACCGTGACAAAAGCATCGCTCAATTTCCACATTGATTTCAAGCATTCGTGAAGGAAGAAGGTAACGATACAGAATTAAAGACGCTGATGAATTGATCAATTTAAGAAGCTTATTTGTGTGTTCCAGTTTGAAATATCCATGTTGTTTTCAAAACACTGTTTTCAGTGAGCTTACACTTTTTACTCCTTAAATCAACTCGCACTCAAATGCACAAATATAAAGGAGGTTGATAGGCTCAAGCAAAGTAATTTATTTTTACTGTTGATACGTGCCATCTAGCAGATTACTTTCGTATGTCACGTTAAAATTCGCGTTGCTCGTAAATCTTGAGTTCAACAGTCAGTCTCCTGCTGTATAATTAATTTGATAGAACAATACTGCAGAAAATGCTTCCAGATTGTTTCTTTGAACCTCGGATAAATCGTTACACCATGCTAGTAGCCAAAATCTTCAAATCTCAATAGCTCTCTGTTCTGGAGGTTGAGAATTCATTGTCTCACCTCTGAGTGTCTTCCTTAATAACCGGTGAGCGAAGACTGGTTCGCAGGTGTTGAAATGTCTCTTACTGGTCTCTTCCCCCCCCCACGATAAAATTCGCTAAGTTCCCCATCCAATGAGAAGTTTAAATCGTCCAAGAATAAACTAGGGTAGGAGCCAGTGAGGTGAAAAATGAAGATCGAGAGGGGACGGGCCTCTCTTTGGAATAGATTCCCGAAATAACTCTTCTGCTGTGAGCACTGTGTGAGCACTGTGTTTGCCTTTGTGAGGGGCGCATAAACTTTGCTTAACATCTTGTCTGTTCAGTCCGACAACGTGTTGCTATGGATGATCGTTAATCAACTTTGCGCGCTGACTCGCCGAGTTCATAAATTCCAGTTTTGTTGCTTGTTTTAAAGCTCATTGTGGCTACGGCAACAGTTAATGCTTTAAGTAATCGTGTCGGTGGAACCTTTCCAAAGGCAACGGATAACTTACCCTCCCATCAACATATTTTGACACTGCCAAAGGGGAGCTTCTCTTTTAAAGCGGTATCTCTATTTCGGGTACCGAATTATCCTGCATAAATACTCGCCTCGGTACGAAGTTGGCTTACTTTGCTTGAAAGATATAAGAAAGGAAAAAAAAAGTTCCCCAGAGGGGGATTTCTGCAAAATGCTCGTCTCATCATTTTCTTTTCCGCTTTGAGTGACAATTATATGTTTATGTTAAGAAGTGAAACTCGTTGCTCTTCTTGTAACAATTTCCAATTAGTGAGCTGAAAACTAAACCTGCGAGGGTTCTTGAAGACATAAAACAAAATTTTTCCTGTAAACCTTACTTCAAGTTTTCAGCAGCGATATTTCTTAGCTGTAAAATTGCTTGGTGAATTTAATATTGGTTGGTGTTGGAATTCTCAAAGAATACATTGACAATCATTTCATTTATTGTAACAGTACTTAGAGACCACTTGATCGTGTGATAGTTTAGATATAATTGCTTAATTTGAATGTTTTTTTTATTTGATTATAAGACATCTTCGATTTCCGAACATATCGAGAAGTTAGCTAAAGTTGCAAAAATCTGCTGGATGAGATTACCGGAAACAAAATGGGATCAATTTTTCCAAACATACGTGTTCTAAACAGATAGCGTTCGATTTCATTAATATAATTTACTAATGTAATTAAAAAGTAGGTTCATTTTTTAATCATTTCCGTCACCACACTTTTAAGAATCATCAAACTGGAAAGACTAGCTACTTAATGTCATACAGTCCAAAACGAAGTAAATAAAACCGAAAAATTATGTCATAAGCACATCATTTGTATAACGCTGTTACAATAATAAAAAAGGCAACTGTGTCTTCCCGAAAAACTTTTTTTTGA